TTGTTCGTGGATCTCGACAGGTCGTCTCAAACAGGTTTATATGGGTGGTTGTCAAAATTATGGTCCCTTTTTGGGTCCTTATTATAATACGGCACCTATTATTTAGGGTACCCCAAAACGGACCATAATTTTGACCACTACCCACATGACTCTAGCATCAACTATGCTTGGCAAGCAATGCTCGACAGTATGATGCTTATATCAGCTACAGTCTCACGACGCGAAAGCTTCGCTGGCAGGGAGAAGCACGGGCATCGGTGGCGCTGGCTCTAGGCTTCAATGTGAGGCTCTACCCGGCTCGGACCTGCATCTCATGGGAGTTTCCAAAGTTAGGGGACCCTTATTTTGGGGTCCTTATAATAAGGGTCCTACTATTTAGGGTACTATATTAGGGTCCCCTATTTTCGGAAACTCCCTTATAGTAGAAGAAGCCTAAGAGTTGGAAACCCAATAACCTCAATCCTTAAGAGTGATGGATAAAGAATCCCAACACTATCTGTCCTTATCCCACCTTTTCGGGGTTTACTATACATCGTGCAAACGGCTTTCTGGTTGAAGACATTCGCCATACAGATTTCTTCCAGGAGTACTAGACAAATGCAGGTTCTACAGAGATGGTTGAAGGGTAGTACGAAATGACGACTGCGACTGCTTCAGGAATGAGAACCGCACACTATCGCACTGCAGGAGCGTCCGGAGAATCTTGACACTAGGGTTTAGAATTTAGGACATGCGGGGCTTAGATTTATGAAGGTCTAGGGAGTCCAGGGTATACAGAAGTATAGGGACACTACGACGTTCTTTGCTTCCTCCTCTCTCATTACACCCGGAAGCCTGACCGAAAGCCCAAAACTCAAAGCCAACAACTTAGGACTTACCTGCAGCCCAGGAAGCCTACACCTTCAGGGCTCCTTACTGTGATCTTCCTGTCGATATAGGGCTACTGACGCTGCAGGTAAAGCTTCAGGTTTACGGCGAACCCAAACGTCTGCGTTCAGTTCTGCTGGGCCGGGTACATCCGGCGCGAGAACCATGGATGAACCGTCCTCTGGCTGTCAGCTTGGAGAATCACGACTGACTATAGCCCTGAGCCCTTGCACCCTTAAGGCCTAAACTAAACCCCAAGCTGGGGAATCAAGATCCACGGGCCGGGGCGCGTAGGACATGGGACTCGGGCTTCAGGGATGTAGGGCCTTGGATATCGGCTTGAAGGTGTAGTGTAGGCCCTCAGGTTTCCGAGCTTGGGAGCTTCCCAGAATACCCAAGATCCCTTCATGAAGGAAATATACCCCAAACCATTATGATGAGGCCCCCTAGACTTATATGGCTGTCTTGCATATATGCCTTAAATGAAGACGTTCTTGGGCCTTCTGGCTTCAGGGCTTCAGCGACTAAAAGGAAAACCGGCGAATCTTTGGAGGGCAGCTTCCGGCTGAGGGCCGCAGGGCTTCGAGTTTCAAGTCAGTTTGGGCTCTCGAGGTTCTAGGGTTTAGGGTTTAGGGTTTAGGGTTTAGGGCCCTAAACCCTAAAGCCTGAAACCCTGAAATTGCAAACCCTCAATACCCTAAACCCCGAACCCCAAGCCTTTCAGCTGCCCCCGTCCTGTCTCTGGATCCCACCCGCAGAAGTATTGGCACGCCGACCAAACTCGGGGCCAAGGCCTGCTTCTGGGGCCCTTTTTAAGGGTTCCCTTAAGGAGTTCCGTTGAGGGTTTAGGGTTTAGGGTTTAGGCTTTAGGGTTTAGGCTTTAGGGTTGGGGTACTATAGGGTTCTGTAAGGTTTCCCTTCAAGGGTTACTATAGCGTTCTACAACAGGGACCCCTCTCGGGGTTCCTTTAGGGTTCTATACTAGGGTCCCTTTTAAGAGCTACCTTAAAGGGGTTCCTCTGAGGGTTCATTTCAGTGTTCCTCTGAAGGGTCTGTTTAGGGGATCTAGAATCAGGTTCTATATAGTATAGGGCCATATTTAGGTTCAGGTTTCGGCTGTCGGGTTGAGGTTCCTTGGGCCTATAGGGTTTTGGGGTCTGGGGTTTCGGTCTTGAATGTAGGGTTAAGTTAAGGCTGCTTCAGGTTGAATGTCTGCCGTTTGGAGTGCATTTGTTTTCAGGGTACGGGAGTGCTTCAGCCTCTCATACTGACATCGTTCCAACCTTCTGTTGGTATGACTCGGCAGAATTTCTCTCAACCCTGAAATTCCAGCCAGCGCGAATCCGTTCTGTACGCTTTCTGGCGACATTCTAGTGCTGAGGCAGCTGAGTCGGAAAAACACCGTTTGCCGGCCTCTACACCGTGGGATTGAATATACTCTACTACACTATACTATCCTTTACTGTACTATGCTGTGCTTACTATACCATGCTTGCTAAACTTGCTTATGAAAACTTTGATATTGCAGCTTATCATATAAGCTCCCTCGGTGCAATCTTCAAAGTCTTGCATGGCATCGCGGCATCTTCGAGAAGAGAGAGAGAGAGAGGGAGAGAGAAAGCCCTCCCCCTACACCCTAGACCTCCACCCAAAACCTTCCCGATTGCAGGGCGGCACCTCGGCATCAAACTCGACCTCGCATTCCCGCAGAACTGTGGCCAACGCTGGCTCCTGGGCGAGTCGGCTTAGCATTTCGAGCTTCGGGCTTCGAGCTTCAGCTTTTAAAAAGAACGTGAGGGGAGGTCGGGTCAAGGGTTTCCGGGTTTCGGAGCTTCGGTGAGGACCCGAAGCAGTTCAGGTCTGAGACTTGGGGCTTCAGTGATTACGGTTTAGACTCTCTAGAGAGGCCAACTCTAAAACTTAATTGCATTTCCAAGGGCCAGGATGGTGCCGCTGCGGAATGCAGCTTGAAACATAGCGTCCATGTCGCAATGGAAGTCGCATGTACAACTACAAAGCTCGTGCATCAACATCAAGGTTCACGAAATCGAAGCTTCTGTTCCGGCAGATTCCGGGCGACAAGCTGGGATGGCAGATACATACATGGATTCAAATTAAAGAGTTCCGAAGCTCCGGCTACTGAATATCTTCATGGCATTACGATTTAGGCTGTAAGACGATGTTGTTTTGCACGACCCTTTTCCGTCCGCCGACCTACAACAAGACGAAATTCAGGGCTTCAAGCCTCACGGCCAAGGGCTTGCGGTTTAGGGGCATCGCGTCCCGGTCTGTGGATGACGCCCTAAAACTCAAGCGAAGTCCGAAAATCTAGACCCCAATCCACAAACGCACAATCTCGATCCCGAACTTTAGAAACTAAACCTGGTGCGCAGTGCCACTGAGCGCGGCTCCACCCATGGCGAGGCCACATCGTGCAAGAGCACCTGGCCATTTACAGCCCTGTAGACGGATTGAGGAGTTAATTGGGGCTTAGGTTTAGGAACAGTATCGGGCGTAGCATTTCGGGCTTAGGGGGGTCGTTGATTGAAACCATACATGTTTCCTAGTGGCTGACCATTGCTTTACGTGAAGCCCCAGAAGCTCTAAGGATGGAAAGCAGATCGAAAGCCCCAAGAGTGATAATCCCGGACTGGTGGTGAACATACAGGGTTTATAGTTTATAGTCGACAAGGGCAGGAGATACACAGCAACAGCTTTACTTCGTGTAGGCACGATTGTGCCTGCGATGAGGCTTGAGAGAATGAGGAAAAACAACGACATGCCCTGGTGCTTCTACAGGAATCCCACGAACTCTGCACCCAGCATGCTCAATCTCTTTGGCTGCTCCCGAGCGACAAACTTCCAAGGCATCACGAGAGGTTTAGGGTTTAGGGTTTAGGGTTTAGGGTTTAGGGTTTAGGGTTTAGGGTTTAGGGTTTAGGGTTTAGGGTTTAGGGTTTAGGGTTTAGGGTTTAGGGTTTAAAAGACCAGCTCGCAGTTGCTCTCTACGCCCAACAAAGCATTGCCTGTGCGCATGTACTTTGCCTGATTGCTTGCTACAGACACCCGAAACGGTAAGTACCCTCGTCCATCGCCGTAAAATCAAAATATCAGAGACTGCAAGCCTAAACCCTAAACCCCTAAACCCTAAACCCTCAAACCCTAAACCCCGCCCTCCCTAAGCCCATCTGCCAACATCCTGAGGAAACCCGACACCCTAATCAAATTCCTAACTCCTGAACCTGACGTCGAGGATGTTCTAGGGATTGGAATACTAACTTATAGTATTCCTTATAGGGCTCCTTACTATGAGTTAGAGTCAGTTAGAGTATAATGTACCCCAAAACCTATTCAAATTATTAAGGCTTGAGTAGACAGTCAAAACATCAAGCCGCCTTGTTGGAGTCGGCATACTGGTCCTGAGGCTTGTGGGTGATCACATACAGTTGTCCGGGTTCTTTAACGAGCTTCTAAATTAGGTTGTTTCGGTGGAGGGTTTAGGGCTTAGGGGGGAACGGAGCTTTTCAAACCTAATAGGATTAGGGTTCTTTCTGCCTTGGAAGGGTTTGCGACGAGTTTTGCCTGCGTCTTGGGGGTTACACGGCTGAGGTACAGGACTTCTACACACGGGAATTCGGAATATCGTGAGCATGAAATGTGCGTTGCTGTATACCAAAGACTGCTAGCTCAGAGAAAATGACATGATCTTTGTTTCACTCTGCATCGGACTTCTCCGCCACGAAGTATGCCCAAGCGCCTGGGGCAAGATGCCACTGTGTCCGCACACATTCGGTCCCCGGATTGCCCTCTGTCTGGGTCTGCATAAATCCGCTCCTTGCTGCTGTGGAAGGTGGCCTGGACTTCACGGGCTTTGCCAGTGGATGCGGGGGTTTTCCCGCCGCGCATTGTCGCGGCAACAGCCCCAAAGCCCAGAGCTCGGCAAGGCCGTCAGGAGAAGACTACAGCTCGACCCTCTCGCGCCCATGTGCGGAACCAAACGTACCCAGACCAGGGCACTGGGAGTTTCCATGCTACAACTGCATTAGGGAACCAGAACGAAAACGTTGACAAGTTGCTGAAGGTCAAGTTCCGACCGTAGACTTTCGGGATTTTCACCTTGGAAACAACAACGCGACCACGGCCGCGCTGTCTCGAGGAACCAGCAAGGGTGGGTATGAGCTGAAGCTCCCCAAGAAGCTGAACAATAGGCGAATGCAGTGCAGACTGAGGCTTTGGGGTATCTTTGAATTTAAGTACAATAAGGAACCCTAAAGAATAATAATTGGTAACTATTTAGGCTTCTATATTGCTACGGATCAGGGTTTAGTTCAGGTTTAGGGCTTTGGGCGCTGTTCAAGTTTAGGGTTGATGCTTCGGCTACCCTCAAACCAGCGACCGGAGCCGTAGACCCTGTGCCCGAAGCCCTCAAGCTTGCAAAGATGCACAGTGTTGAAGGTTTTTTGCTCGTCTGCGGAGCACGCAGCCACATCATGTCCACAAGTCAGAGGTCTGACGCTGAAAGAACCACCCACGATTCCTCAACGGAGCACCCCTGCAGCCCGAAGCCCTAGAATCAACCCTCATCTCACAGAAACAAAGCGAGTCCCTGCCGGAACACCCTTCTGACTGATCTCCCCATGAAACGCTGAAGCCCTTATCAAGAACCCTTCAAAAAACCTAGATCCCAGATCAAGAAATCAGAAAACCCTCTCTCTAAGCCACCACAAAAACCCTTAAGCCCTCATTCAGGCACCCAACAACTGGACCCCCAAGCCTAAAATTCCAACACCCCAAAACCTGCAAACCCAACTAAACCACCAAAACAGTAAGCGACCCTAAACCCTAAACCCTAAACCCTGAACCCTAAACCCTAAACCCTGAACCCTAAACCCTTAAACCCTGGACCCTAAAATCCGATCCTTCCGCAGCCACCCTGCCGAGCTGGCGATGCCCAGCAGCTGCCCCCGAAGCGATGCGGCGAGCAGCCTAAGCTTCAGCGTTGAGGCTGTCGAGTGTTAAAGTCAAGGGTCCTTTGCTATTTCGGGTACAGGGCTTAGGGTTGAGGGTTTAGATTCCAAGGTTATCTAAATGTTTAGGGTTGAGGTAGGCTGCAGGGTTGAGGTAATAGGGTAAATGTGGCCTAGGGCCTAGGGTTAAGGGTACAGGATTCAGGGTTTAGGCTTGGGTTTTCTCTGGCATTCGTATTTTGCGTGCTTGCCCTTCTCGTTGTATCTGTCTGTTTGCTTGCTGGTCTTTGTTTGCTCTGCCTCTGGGGCTAGCTTCGGCGGGCTTCGACCTTAGGGCCTTCACAAGGCTGGCGCTGGCTCGGTTAACTCGGTGACTTCTGTTGCTGAAGAGCGATGTCGCTCTGTCGGTTCACCCCGGCTGTTACGCTTGTCATTGTCGGTCACAGCTCTGTGGCTCGTCCAGGCTCAAGTGACTGCGGACTGCGTTGTCTGTCGGCTGTACGCACCTGGAGCTCTTGCAAGCTGTCTTGTTGCTGACCAGGCTCCGTCTCACTGGGTCTCTTCAAGCGATTCCATGTATTTTGTATCCACTAGTCACTCAGTTCTTTGCTCCTTCGTTGTCGGGGCCTCAGTCTCATCGACGAGCAAGTCAGATAGGCAATGTCGTATCCTTTGATGTTGATGCTCAAGTTTGATGGCCAACTGTCTGATGTTGCTGCCAAAAGCAAGCTGAGAGGTTGACCATACTGGAACCCAACTTAGACCCTCAATAGTAAGATCCCAGCAATTCCTTCAACTACCTAAAGATGAGATACCACTGAATTCTCAAAAACCTGAGCTCTTTCAACTCATGGACAGCCTCGCAAGCAGACCGGAGGGAAGAGCCTGAGCAACCTTTTGGTTAAAAGCAGGGGTCCATCTGATAGTAAGGATCGTACCTCCAACTTCGCGAACTTCCTTGTTACAACAGAACCAGCAAATCATGACGCACTGTAGGGAGAAAGTAGTTTCATGTCAGTGTCTGATGCTTGTGTTGTAGTAGTGCACGCCGAATGAACGTAGTTTAGCAAACCATTTACTTCACTTTGTCTTAGCAGCTGCGCAACATAATCGAGTTCGGGTAGGCTTCCCTGGTACTCTTTATCATATTGAAGTGTGTTCGCAATGGTCTCCCAGAAGGAAAAAACACGAACATGCCTTCTACCCGAAACTCTACACCCTAACGATGTTTCCAGAGTCACCTATTTTTGTTACAAGCGGCAAGGCACCGTGGCCACCCATGGAATGCCCAGCCACGAGAATGGCATCAAGGTCTGGGGCCTGCATTGACAGCGAAGGTTTCGAAACCCTAAGTCCAAAAACCCTAGCCCTAAACCCCAGAGTCCCCAGAGCCTAAACCCGAAGCCATATACCCTACGCTCTAAAGCCTAAACCCCAAGCCATAAACCCTACGCCCTGAAGCATAAGCACTGAAGACTCAACCCCAACCGCAGACGCTAAATCCTGAATCTTCTCTACGACCTTGACCCGTCGCAAACTTATTAGGCTGCTACCTTTCAGGGTTTACCGTTTTGGGCTCAGGGCTCAGGGCACAGCGTTTCGCCTTAAGGTTGAGAAGTAATGGCATCTCCAGTTGCAGAACTCCGTGCGGAACAAGGCTACCCTCTTCATTGTGACGCATTGAGCTGGGAAGCATCCATACCAGGAGCCCCACAGGCTTAAAGGTAACCCTAATCCTGAACCTTCAAATCCCAAACCCAAAGCTACAGCACCTTATGGAACCTTCAATCAAATCCGAATAAGTGCACCAATGACCCTGAACACCCGTTGACCCGAAACCCTAGACATCCACACTCAGTCCTCACCTTTAACCCCAAAAAACCTATGCCCACAAAGCCCCTAATCCCAAACTATATCCTTACAGAACCCTTACGGAACCCTTAAAGGAACTTAAACGAAGCCCACCTTAAAGGAACTCCTTAAAGGAGCTTTTGCAGTGATTTTTATTGAAACTTACAAGGCCTCTGTGGGTAGTCCTCTAAATTAGGGTCCCCTTTTGGGTCCCCAAGATAGTACGGCACCCGTACGAAACGGAGCCTAAAGGGAACCCCAAGTTAGAGAACTACTCCTGCATTCAACCCTAAACCCTAATCCAAGCCCTAAACCCTAAACCCTACACCCTACCTCAACCCTATAAGAGCTTCCTTTTTAGGGCTCCTTATTATGATTTCTTTGTGTAAGTCCTGAAAAAGGTGGTTCTTCGGGGTCCGGGTAAGCCCGAAACTCTAAGCCCTAAACCCTGAACCCCAAGCTCTAAACCCTGACCCGAAGCCCTAAGCCCTAAACCCTAAATCCTGAGCCCTAAACCCTAAACCCCAAAATCCAAAGCCCTATAAACCCTAAACCCTAAATCCGATGCCCTAAATCCTAAGCCCTAAATCCTAAATCCTAAGCCCTAAACCCTAAATCCTAAGCCCTAAACCCTAAACCCTAAGCCCTAAACCCCAAACCCTAAACCCTGCACCCGAAACCCTAAGCCCTAAGTCCTAAATCCTAAGCCCTATAAACCCTAAACCATATAAATCCGAAACCCCAAACCCTAAACCCTGCACCCGAAACCCTAAGCCCTATAAACCCAAACCCTACAAACCCTAAACCC